TATATATATATATAAAAATACAACTTGGGGGTTTTATTATTTTTTAAAGAATGGAGAAAATTCTACATTTTGCAATTTTAACTTTTGAATACAAGTGGCAGAGGGTGAAGGTCAATCATGTTCAGGTGTTTCTAGATGAGATAACATTCATATTAGTCCCTCATGAACGTGCTTAGAAAAATCCTGGCTGTTTCACTAATGCCTATTATAATCCTTTAAGGGATGGGTAGCTTCTGTTGCAGTGGTCATCCTCAGCAAGGCTCTATAGCAGATGTTAAGTTGTACTTAATTTTTTTATTCATCTGTGAAACATCTACTGTTGATGCACTTGGGAAAACTAAGTGCTTGGCTGAGCAGACCACTGCCTAAGCTAATATAACACACTTGTGCTCCTAAAGAAGTGGTAAGTTCAGAGGATGTAACATAAGCTGTGAGTTTCCTTTACTGAATGTTGGGTCTGTTAACATTGCTATAGCGTGGCCCTGCTAAAAATAATTGCCTGTATTTGAACTGACAAGGCTTAAACAACCATATGATGTTCATAAGTTAATGCTGCCAGTCAGGGTCCTGCTACTGTTTTTTTGGGGAGGAATGAGAGGGTCACAGTGCAAATTATGAACTTTTCTTCTCCATGGCCTTATCCAGAGCCTGTGTCTAAATTTTTAATTGTTATGGCTCAAAGATATTTCTAAGACATCACAAAACTGTTGCATGAGAAGTGCAAGTACAGTGTCTTTTGGGGCGGGTGCACTTTAATTATGTGGAAGGGTGGGGAAGGCTGTGGTCTTCTTCCAGCCTTGTTTCTTGAGTCACTTGGGAGCGTGCAAAGGGATTTGAGTCACACGTCAGCCAGTGCTGTGGCCCAGACTGTAATTTAGAAAACACCACCCCATATTTAATGCTGATAACTTAGGTTTCTGAAAAGTATTAGGAAGATGAAAAGGCCATGGTTTTAGTACTGTCACTGATCACTGCTTCAAAATTGTGGTAGTTTTGAGAACTTTTGCAGGCAGAAAATGTTCAGTTTGCTTAGAAGTAAGGATCTAAGTACAGCTTGGTATTTGTGATCAGTTGCCATTGCTACCTGGGTTGAGGGTTAGTTAAAATGTTTGATTTAGCCCTGGTTTTTTGCTTTTACTGCTGCTTCCTAAACCTTTTTCTGCACCAATAGCTACCCTGGGGACTCTTAAAATAGAGACTATTTATCTGCTATTTCTGCAGATCTTCATGCTTGCTTTCTTCGGTTTGTCAAATGTTCATCAGATGACTAGGAAGAGAGGGAATTGAGAGTTTATGTTCTTTGCTTGTATTGATTAGCGTGAGAATATCATAACATATGTGTATTTAAGGTAACTGTAAAGTGTTGGCTTCACATACGTCCATGTTGTCTTACTGCTGTATTTGCAGCAATATTTTCTGCATGCTTTTCTAAGTAGGAGATAAGCCAGATGCCACACAGTGTATGACACAACATAGTTGTACAAATGATAGGCTTTTCAAATAACTTCTCCATTAGTTTTGAGCACTATAGCAATGGAACGACTTCCCAGAAAAAGTTGAGTCTGTGATGTGAATTCTAATCATGTGAGGAGAGGCATTAGAAATCAAAGAAACGCTGATTGAAGAGTTGGTGTATCAGCACTGTGGCTCTACTTTCTTTTGATTTTGATATGTGTGTGTGAATGTAGTCTTTCTCAAAACACTTGTTCCTTTTTCTATTTGTCACAATTCACATTCATGTTTACATGCACATGTTTACATTTCAGAGTTTGATACCAACTCTAGAAAATGCAGCAGAAATCAGGGATGTTGCCTTCCACCACTCGCTGCAGATTGGCTTGGCTCTCAGGCTTCAGTATTTGCAGCTTGGTCTTGCTTTATATGCTAGACGAGGTTTATGCCAGCCTAAT